GAAAAAAAAAAGAAAATCCCCAAAAGTTTTTCAACGGATTTTGGCTGTACTCAGCAAGCGCAGCACAGCCCCCAACTCAGATTTGAAAAAAAATCATTGGGTGCCAATGGATGGCTGTTTTCTGACTGGTCGGCCGACCGCCGACCGGTCGGCCCTACTGGTCGGCTGCAAAACAGTCGGCGGTCGGCAGCTATGCAACCCTGGTTTGGTCAGATTTCATTTCGTGTACACTGCCATTGTGACAACAATGCCATTCATAACTTCATAACATTGTTGGTTCCATCAATGTCCTCCCTTGTGTTGTTGTTTGCAGCCTCCAGAACCAACAGCATCCGTGGACTTGCATTTCATAGCGCTTGTGCATGTCAATGGTAAGCCTTACTGAGATTGTGTTGTTTGACCTCCGACTACAGACTTGTGCTTCTTTCTCCTCTGCCAGTCTGCTTCAATGGCCTTGGCGCCCAACTGTGTACTTTGCCCTTCGGTTGGGAATGTGAGTTTCCGGCGCTCTCTCTGAGATTGCGGTTGTAGAAGTTCCCAGACCGCTCCCTGAACAGTGTAATGATTATAAAACCCTGCTTTCTACCCTCTGTCAGTGTAGCATATCAACTGACAGACGACAGCGACTGCCGACTGATCCGCAGCTGCCAACTGGTCGGGAGCACCCCATCAGCTGAGTTTTTTGGAGAAGCGGAAGGTGGGCCATCCTGCACCGAGCACCCAGAAACAGCTATGCAAATTATATTTCTGGGTGCTTGGGTTTTTGGTGAGCGGGGGGGGGGGGGGGGGGGGGTGGGTGTTTGGGGGGGGGGGGGGGGGGGGGGGGGGGGGGGGGGGGGGGGGGGGGGGGGTATTAATTAGAACACTAATCAAGGAGAGTGGCTTCAAACAGGGGATGTCTCTTGTCAATCGGGTTGCATGAGGTGATAGGGGATAAAGAGGCGACGATATTCACCATTCAGATCTTGATTCTCTGAAGATTTCATGCTTCAAAACTAAGAGTAATCCCGTGCAGTATATCGTATATCCTAAGAAGTGTGGCTTTAGAAAGGGGATGTCTCATGTCAATTGGGCTGCATGAGGTGGNGGCTTTAGAAAGGGGATGTCTCATGTCAATTGGGCTGCATGAGGTGGTAGGATATCCTTGATTTAAAACTAAGTAAGGAGAGTAACTATAGATAGGAGATGCCTTTTGTCAATCATGCTGTCTGAGGTGGGGGTAGGGGATACAAAGGCGACTCTATTCACCATTCACATCTTGATTCTCTGAAGATTTTACCATTGCAAACTAAAGTGTACAATTCGTGTGATGTCATCAACTACGGGGCAAAAGCACTCGCACGTGTCATGTCCTATGCGTAGAAATGGGCTGGAATGACAGTGGGTATGTAGGGACCTTTCACCTTTTGCAGTCAAGATGCCACAGAGCGTATGGGAGGAGCGATTACCTCTAAACTTACTGAGCAGAAGGTTATGGTCATTGGCTGTTGATCTTTTACAATTTATGTCGACAAGGCTGGTTTTTTTATTTGTCATGTCAGTCAGGAGGACACCTGGCCATAGGGCGGCAGGCTCGTGACCCATCTCGCACACCCCTGCTCGCACCCGTGAGCTCACCCAGCAAAAAGCTTCACTCACAGGTAGAGGCCTCCTCCTCAATTATATTATGTCGCAAGTCCGTTGTTGAATAAGGTGCCATCAGTGATGTTGCCCTCACGTCCATTGCACTTCCTTTAGGCACAAGTTCAAGCACTGGAAGATGATTTTACCGCTTATGTGAATGTACGTGTGAGGTATGTGAGCAATTGACTGTTCAGACTGGCTAAGCTCACTTTGGTAGTCTCTTACTGGGTGGTGGACATGCGCACTTGCTGAGATGGAAGGAAAGGCAAAAGGAGCACAAGGGCAGTGTTTGAGCAGCTGGCGGGGACTGACATCGCTCGGTTTGATGATGATGGGTGTCACAAAATATGGAATACAGGCGCTGTAGTGTTTCTTTCTGTCTTTGAGCCGTATTTTGTAACTTTCTTGCATACGGCTCTCCATGTATGATGACGGTGTTGGCTGTGAAAATATCAGTTGCTGTGAAAAGTTGAAAACGTTCAATACCGCTACCTGTTTTTCAAATTATATTATTATAATTCATAGATGCATCAGTGTATATGTAATGGCCATCCTCATGTCATTGGCACTGCCCATAGATATGCCAGCTTCTGGTTTTGCAATGATGCTGTTCCAACTTGTTTTCCTAATTTGGCAAAGGGCCGATGGCCTTTTTTTTTTTTCATCTGTCTGTAGGAGGGTTATATGAACTTGATGGAAGGAAATTGTTTCCTATTTTTCATGGGCCGTCATCAGATCAAACTCTACTCTCGGTACGATGTCTCCTTTTCTCAATGCGTCTTGTTTCCATAATGTCCTTGCTTATGGCCTTGTTTGCCAGAGGTTTTGCCTGTTTGGAGGAAACATATTTTGGTATTTAATATTACAAGCAAATACATAGCCACGGCGCACACCTGTTCCTCCTCCTCCCCCCACCCCCCATTCCTTCACCACCCCCTCCTCCTCCTCCCCATTCTCTGCTACCTCCTCTCCATCCTGCTCCCCCACCCTCCTCCTCCTCAACCACCTCCTCCTCCTCTGCTCTCTTCTCCTCATGCCCCTCCCCCCCTGCCACGTCGTCCTCCTCCTCCTGCTCATGCCGTGTCCTCCTCCTACCCCCTTCTTAATGTGGCCAAAAAAAAGAAAGAAAACAGGCCTTACACAGAAGAGAACAAAGTCTACCTCCTTCTGTCAGACCATGGGCCTCTCTCTAGTCAGCATTCCACATGTATGTGGACTAACGTGAGCTCTTGTACTTCATAGATATGTGACAGTGTATGTGGACTAACTTGTGACCAAGCCACACCCCCACAAAAAAAAGAGCCAGATGGCCTAAGTTAAAACCACACGCACACACAAACACAGCCACAAAAAAAACAGACACCTTGGTACAAGTCCACCCTGGCCACAGCCATGGTACTATGTGCGCTGGGTGGATCATACAGCCTGTGTAATGCTACATGGATTGGATGGTACCATTGGACCGAGCGGCACGATGTGGGGCGGGCCATACTATGTGGACTGGATGCTACTAACACACACTCCTACGGAAAAAAAAAGAACGTGCACGGCCATAAAAAAAGAAAAAAAAGAAAAGAAACACATGGCCAACATCAGCCACAATTCGCCCCTTGCCATGGGCAGGCCATACTATGTGGGCTCAGCGGTATTATGTGGCCTGGGTGATACTATTGGGTATGGGTTGTACCTCGTGGGGAGGGGGGGGTCAGACCATGTGGACGGGGCAGCACTATGTAGGATGTGGGTTGGGTGGTGCTATGTGGGGCTGGTCATACTATGTGGACTGGGTGGTACCATGTCGGCAGGGTGGTATTATGTGGTCTGGGTGGTATTATGTGGTCTGGGTGGTATTACGTGGGTGGGTCATACTATGTAGACTGTGTGGTACAATGGTACCCCAGGTGATACTTCGTGGACTGAGTGGTACGATGTGCTGTGGGTTGTAGTGTGTGGAGTGGATGGCTATGTGGGTTGGCTGGTACAGTGCGATAGGTGGGCGATGCTGGGCGATGCTACATGGGCTGGGAAAAAAAAACAAAGGAAAAAAAAAAACAAGGCAAGTCCATGTGGCTGAATGGTATACTCGTCAACGTTGATAGACAGTCCTGAGCTTGAACTCACATCGAAAAGTAAGAAAAACTCTAAGATCTCCACCCGGATTCGAGTTCAAGACCTGGTTGCTAACAGTCATGTGCCTTCTTTCCATCCAAACAGGCCTGCTATGTGCTTGTATGCAAACATCCACCAGAAAAACGACAGACGGGGCAGGTCCACGCGTGATCCCACGAAACGACTGAGCAGGATGGTAAAACAACCAAATGAAACAAAACTCTCACGTATGAGCCCATGAAACTACACCACGGTGCGAAAGCAGCCAAAAAAAAAAGGGACTGCGCGATTGCCCCAAAGGTCTGATGCAAAAGCGAAAAGAAAACACGTGCAGCCCTGGGCCCAGCAGGGAAAGGGTCTTGTGGGACCGCATTGTTCCAGACCCCGGATTTCTCTTCAATGAGATTTAATAAGAGAGAGATATATATTGCGGGGCAGTCGTTGCAACAATGTATATCTCTACTACCTTGTAGATATTATTGAATGAGGTGTATGACCCTTGAGCTTTGACATCAAGTGAATTACAATCTTCTATCCATGGCCCTGCTTTTGTGCTGTGCATGGCTCTTTAACTTTGGCAGCGGGGCCATATACGTGGCTAGGTCCAACTGTGTCTGTGTGCTTAGTTTGCAAGATCAGAGAGTCCTAATCACTGTCATAATGTGTCATTGGGTTTGTTTTGTGCTTAGTTTAGAAGATCAGAGTGTCATAACCACTGCCATTGGCAGAGACTGGAATTCAGCCAGAGCCTGCAATCAGCTGGTCGTGGCAGCAACCAGCCTGGCCCAGCTGTACCCAATGGGCCGGATCCATGGGCAAAACAGGCAACCCCGGCTGGGTTCGCCCAGGTGGTAGCACAGCCCAGGGATAAACACAGTTGGGTGCGATATTAGTTAGATCAGCCGAACTAGCCCCCCTCCAAATATATATGTATATATATATATATACATGTATATATATCTGTTTGTGACGATATATATATATACACAGCCCCTCGTTTGTTGTCCTCTTCTCCCTCTCTGCCTACGGTTTACCGGGCAGTTCTGTTTGACGATATTTTCTGTTTGTGACGATATATATACCTGATGAGTCGGTGAAACTCCGACGAAACAGTTTGTCACAGCCCCTCGTTTGTTGTCCTCTTCTCTCTCTCTGCCTACGGTTTAC